CCTGGGGCAGACAGGAAACACACTCACTGCCATGACCCCTGCACACAGGTGTTAGAACTTTCGTCATTTGTGCTTTGCTCTGCTTACCCCCATCCTTCATTGGTCTCACCCAGCCTCTTTATTTGGTTAAGAAGGGGTCCAACGGGTACTGCCCCCTCCACCTACTGAACAGCGAGTTTCACCCAAGCGGGTCTTGTTCACTGTCCTCAGTACTAAGCGGAGCCTGGCACAAGGTAGTGCTTAGTGAGTATTTGTGGACTGAATGAGTAAATGAGCTGCAAAGACAACAGGCTTGAAACTAGGCTCATCCTCCTTCCATTTCCTTCGGCATCATTTCCTATCACTAATAGAGTAACACTCCAGCCCATATCCTGGGGCCCTCTTTATCTGGAAACAATGAGAGAAGACCCAACCCATCACCCGACGACGAAAGAGCTGTTGTGGAGGTAACTGTGAGGGAGAAATAAGAGAGTTGTCAAGCAAACTTAGACCTGTGAAATTAGGTCCTGGGGCAAACCAAGTTATTATGCTGGTGGATTAGAAGCCAGGCAGAGGAATGGGCAGGGGCTGAAATGCTGAGAAATGACATGCAACAGACCACTTTCTCCAGTCCCCCCATCTTACAGATGAGGAATCGCTGCCCAAACTTACAGAGCTAATGAGTAGGAAGAGGCAAGCCATAAAGCCTGGGTGTCCCGACATCCCATCCAAATCCCTTTCCACCTCCCACATAGGGGTCCAATCAGGCCCAGTAAGCCCAGGAAAAGCCTTTACACAGATTGCAGCTCTGTGCTGCAAATAGCAGGGGTAAGCTTAAGTAAAAGAATCTGCATTCCTGTGTAGTAGCGTCAAAGTCTGCAGACTCTCCCAGTGCTCCCAGCTTGAACCCTCTGAGTCATCTCTTGATTACCACCCTCCCCTGAGACACTCCAGCCAACAGAAGGTGAGAGCATGGCCAGCACTTGCTGACCCCTTACTGTGGGCCCACCCTGTGCTAAGCACTTAACACGCATCATCATCTCCTTCAAACCTCACAACAACCTCTGGGATGCAGCTGCCGCCACACCCGTCTCGCACAGGCGGAAAGGGAGGCTTCATGAGATTAAATGACCTGCTCACAGTTCATAGATTCTAAGGGGCAGAAGGAGGACTTGATCCTCGACCCAATCACCAGGGAGGTCATCCTTTCAGCCATGAGCCGTGCTTCCTGCCTATTAAAACTGGCTCCCCTGGATTCAGCCTTTCTTTCCCCATCGCCACAGTGCAGTTCTTAGCATCTCACACCTATACTACTGTCCCGTCTCTTCTCCCAGCCTCTTCTGTGGTGTCTCCTCCTTCCACCCACTTCTGTTCATCTTCCCAAACTGTGATTCTTCTATGTCGATGAGAGGTTTTTGTCACATCATCAATTCTCTGTAGACACCAACTGGGTGTCCAACAATTCTACTCAGTTCTGATACTATCTACCTGGAGTGGGCAGTGGATCCCACAAGGTAAGGGGTCAGTCCTACAGGACTGTCTCCACTTCAGATGACAGTGGCAGTGTTGAGCCACCTGTACCTTTGGCTGGTCAGCTATCAAACCTCCATAGGTTTAATAATTTGCCAGAATGACTCATGAAATTCAGGAGAGTGCTTTAGTTACTATTAGTGGTGTATTATAAAGGATACAACTCAGGAACAGCAAATGGAAGGCATGCATCCATTGGGAGTACACAGGGGGGTGTGGTGTCTGCCCTCCCTCTTGGCACACCAGCCTCTCAGAACCTCGATGCATTCACTAACCCAGGAGTTCTCTGAACCCCATCACTCAGGGATTTTTAGTGGAAAGTTCATTACCCAGGCACAATTGATTAAATCATTGGCCCTTGGTGATTAGCACAATCTCTGTTCCCTCTTCCATCTCAGGAGGTTGAAGGGAGGCTGAACATTCAAACTCTCTAATCAAGGCTTAGTCTTTCTGGCCACCAGCCCTCATTCTAAAGCTATCCAGGGGTCCCCAGCCATCAGTCATCTCAGAAACTGGGTTCAAAGACCAAATATTTCTTTTTTCTTGTACCAAAGTCATGCTCTGCTCAGAAACCTCCAGTGGCTCCCCTAACAACAGAAGAGAGCCCAGACTTGTCCAGGTGGCAAGTACACAGCTGTACACAGCCACACTTCCCATGATTCCTACCACTCGCCATGGTCCGGGCTGGTCCACCTTCCAGACTCCTGCCTCTGCACCTTTGCCCCATCCTCCTGCCCTTTGACTGAATTGAAACACTTCTTAGGACACTGTTTGTTTAAAGACTGAGGGGGAGTAGAGGGCTCCAGTCACTCAAGAAGGCAACCTGGTAGTCCTTAGTCAAAGTCAGGATACAGCTGCCTGTGGCCAGCAATTCTGCCCTTGGCTATGGGTCCTAAAGAAATCCTCACAGGTGGGACCAGGGGGAGGCTATTCGGAGCAGCATGCTTGTGGAATTGCAGCATAATCTGTGTGATCTCCAGATGGACCCGTCACCCAGGGGTGGACGGGGGGAGCCGATGGTAAAGTCCGTGGAGATCTCTGTGGAGCACGACGCACATTATGTGGTCTGCGCAGAGTGACAGAGACAAATCATACAACCAGTTTAGGACAAAAGGAAGAAGTACAATAAACTGAGTAACAGGATGGGTTACATAATTTAAAAATACAGGCATCTCAAAGAATAACAAAAGCTCTGCAAGTACATACAGAAACAAAACATAAACATCTGACATGTTGGAATGGTTACCTATGCAGGGCATGAATACCTGACTAGTGGTCCCTGGGTGAGTTAAAGACTGGGGCCACGGTACCTACCCCAGCTCCTGGCTCAGTTACCTTGGAGCAATTTGTGGACAGAAAGGGGGCTGTCAGGCCAGGGCCTCAGAAGCAGGGTCAGCTAGAGAGAAGGCTGCCCTTCTCTGCTGAGGATGTCTTCCTCACAGCTCACCCACCTCCATGGCGATGGTGAGAATCTCATCTCTAGAGATGAGTTCATTTGGCTTTGTAGTTGGGGAGTGGAGGATTTCATAAGTCTGCTCAATGAGTAAACATTAAGGACAGTTTAGACAACGGGACTTAGAAGAGATGGTGAAGGGAGTGGAGGAGGAAGGTAAACTGTGCCAGACTGTCAGAATCAGATAAAACCTCTACTGAGCACTTACAACAAGCCAGCAGGGTGCTAGGGAGTTTCACATGAATTATCACATATAGGTTCACAAATATTCTCCCGACGGTTGGGGGTTATCCCCTCTGGTTTGTAGCTGGGGAACTTGAAGTCAGAGAAAGAAACCTGGCCACACTGGCCTGCACTGTGAGTGCGTCCGTGTTGTTTTCCTACTGCCTGGGGAACACCGGCCTTTCCACTGCTACAGCTTCGAACTAGCTGCTTTTGACATCCTCTCTAGATTTTTCGGCCTAGCAGCGGGTCCGGATCTCCAGTCTCGCCGGGACCTCCAGGGCTATCAGAACTGCTCCAGCAGCTCTGGCTGGAATGTAGCAGGTCTAGAAGCTCTACATCTCAGACTTGCTGAGGGAGCTCCTGGGGTTAAGCTAAGTTCTAGTAACTTCCTCTTTCCCTCCCACACACTTGATTCTTTATTTGTGGCTCCTCTTACTAGGTCTAATTTTTAGGGAACTAGAGATCGTCCTCCACAACTGTCTTCCACTCTGATCTGAATCTCCAGCTTCCTGAGATGCATGATGTTACGGGGTAAGGGGTGGGGTGAGGGGGACCCTTTAATGAATTCTCTGAGAGTAGTATAAACAAAATGACAGTGAACAATCTCTGTAAAACAAGGATACAGCAGAGTTTTGCCGTATGCTAAAGCATTACAAGAACCAGGGTTATACGCAGGTCAAATGAGGCCTGTCAAACCCAGGAATGCACAAAGTTCTGAAGAGATGGCGTCAGAAAGGCGACTTTTACCCAGCCTTACCACTGGTGCTCCTCACCCGCTTCACACCCTGCCAGCTATGTAAGCAGCCTCATTTTCAAGTCCTAGGTCAGTCACTTTGAGTAAAATTTAAAAGAAAGTAATTCCATCCAACATAAAGCATTCTCCAGTTCCTGGCAGCGATTATAACTTGCAGATTGCCCACGCCTCACCCAGAGTCCTGTCATAAACACTTGCTGAAGTGATTAACACCACAAGCTCAATTTGACTTAAACAGGAAAACAGTATTATTAGAGAAAACTATGGATTCTCCTTTTTTTTTTTTTTTTTACCATAAGGAGTTTATACAACTGTGAAGAAAAGGGTGTCACAGAAAGACACCCTTTAAAAATTTACACAGCAGTCTCTGGTAACAATAATAACTAACATTTAGAGAGGCTACATGTACTCTGTGCCATGCAACCCTCTGAGGGAGGCACAGTTCTTACCCCCAATTTATAGAGGCTGGATAGAACCGAGGCAGGGAGAGAGTAAATGACGTGCACACACAGGTACGATGGCTGAGCAGGGAATCTAACCCAAGGCTGTAATTTTAAGGTCAAGCTCCAGAGTCAAATGGCTTTGGAATCCACCCTTATCCGGTCTCCGTCTATTGGGGCTGGTGCCCTTGATGATGTACACAACCTCTTTGACTCTGAGTTTCCCTTCCGATAAAATCAGATAAAGCATTCTTAAATAGCTGGAGCAGTGAATGAGCGAGATGCGTGGCGGGTCTACTTGGGGTCCCTCGTACTGCTGTCAATCTCCCGCACAGCCCAGCTGAACCGTCTCGTAGGCCGGGCTGGGTCTACTCCTCTAAATACGGCATCTCTTGGTGGAGGCCCAACTTCAATGCTTTTAAGACTAATCATCCAAGAGGCTTTTGCATCTGCATCTACCTGGCACACTGACCAGAGTCTCGCTTTCTCCGCACATCTCCCCTGGGTCCTAAGCTTGCAATCTCGCGCCACGCAACGGGCTCCTCCTGCACCCCGGCTTCTGGCTCCTTCCGGACTCCTACCCGGAGCTCCGGGGCCTCCGCGCTAGCGGCCGGCTTACCATGGCATCGTAGCCCAGGGCGTTCATGAAGTGTGCCACCTCCGCTCCCTTGTACACGGTGAACCAGATGGTGCCCTGGTACTGGTCGCCAGCGTCAAGCAGTAGGACGTGGGGCTCGGCAGTGCGGATCCGCTGCACTTGGGTGTACAGCCTCGCCACGCCGCCCACGCAGCGGCTGGGGTTCACGCATTTGCTAGAGTCCTCGCTGGTCTGCTCCAGGCGGCTGTGCACGTCGTTGGTGTGCAGGATGGTGAGTTCCCAGGCGCTGGCCGCCTGCCACAGCAGCGCGCCCAGCGCTAGGAACAGCGGCGCTAACGCCGGTGGGGCTCGGGGACACATGGCTGTGGCGCATGGACTGGGCGCGAGTGCTGGGAGCTGAGCAAGCGGCGGCGGACTGCGGGGAGTGCACTGAGGCGCCCAGGGGAGCGGGGCGGGACAAGGGCGGGACCGGGGCGGGCGCTCTTTCAGTCCGGAGTCCATCCCCGCGGCTTGGTCATACGGTGGGACCCTGGCAGCTGGCACCCGCTCCGGCAGGATCAGTGGGAAAGTGTTTCCCCGCGAGGAGCGAGATCAGGATCCCAGCCGGATCCGAGAGTTTGGGCGCCCGCAATCCCACTGCTGGAGGAGTTGAAGTTGCAGTTGGAGTTGGAGGGTCCACCCTGCGCCTACCACCTGCCTGACTCTCGCTTCTTTTGAGGAACGGATTTTTCTAAATAGAAACCGTATGGTTTGTGTTGGATTTGTGGCGGATTGTACGAGCTGGGTCACTGGAAAGGGCGAAAGAGGGTAAAGAAAGGACGCGGACAAAAAAGGTGGGCGACATGGGGGCCGTAGGGTGGGGAGAAGGGTAAAGAGAGATGGAGACGAAGGAGAGAGACGCGATTTGCGTTTTGTACTTTGGGAGCCAAAATACGGATTGTGAGAGGTAACCAGCCAGTCTCTTTCCAGCCATGGTGAGAACTCCCTAAGGAATGAAAACTCTGTAAGTCTACTTTGCTTAGGCGAAAATTTTAGAAGCTAATAAATAATCCAAATCCAGTCCTCATTTATTTACTATTAAAACCTTAGCGATAAAACAGCAATGGTGCATAGACAGCTATGGGAGGCTAAAACGAACTATGAGGAGTACAATTAGTAGCTTTGAGACTGCGTACAATTGATAGCTTCTGTTGCTTTTATAGGCATTTTTTTCCTTTCTGTCCTGTTTTTGAGGGTTTAATATGTTAAGGATGGCGCGCACATCTTTTAAGGCAAAGCTTTTCACAAGGAGGATGATATGAACACAAACAAATCAGTATGATAAATCATCTTTATAATCTAATTTTAATGGCAGTATTTCCTTCTGTTTCACAGATTGATTTCTTAGTGCAATCAATAATCTAGCCACTTGGTTAACGGATTGGGGTTTGTGGATGCAAAAGGTGAAAAGGATTAATAAGAAGTGCAAACCACCAGTTACAAAGTTAGTCATGGGGGTGTCACATACAGCACAGGGAATATAATCAGGAACATTGTAATAACTATGTATGTTGTCAGATGTGTGCTAGCCTTGTCAGGGTGATCACTTTGTAAGATATATACATTTCCAATCACTATGCCGTACACTAATATAATATTGTATGTCAATTATAATTCTTTAAAAGTAATCTTGGCACGTTGGGAAGGGTAGGAGAAGGGTGTTCACCCATTAGTATATCAATGAACATTGTTTTTTTCTCACCTTTTGGCTACTATGAATAGTGCTACTTGAACATGGTGTACAAAAATCTTTTTCAGTTGTTACTGAACTAAAGGGGTCCATTTGCCTGTGTGCATCAAAGCCCAATCAAATATAAAAAGAGTTTAGACCAAAGAAAGTAAAGTTTAATTAAGAAAATGGCAGAGTCACAGCTGGGCTTGTGCTCGGAGACCTGGCTCCCGGCTGGCACGGGGACAGAGTGTACATGGGAAAGTTCATCATAGTGAGGAAGCAAGTTGGGGTCCTAGGCTCCACTGACTGGTGTGGGGCCAGGGTAGAGAGTAGTTGATCGTTTTATTAGGTCCTCACATCAACTGTGGCACCTTCCTGTCTAGTTTCATGAGTGTGGCAGGTAGGTTGCATGTGCGCCTGGGGCTGAAACACTTTTAAAAAGATGTTATCTTTAGTTTGAGCAAAACACTGTTTCTGTGATCAACTGACTTGAGGCTTTGTTCTTAAGAGTTTGATGTTGACCAGAATCTCACATCCTAAGGATTTAATGATTAAGGAAGGGAGTGAACAAACATCAAGGAGAAAGAATTATATTAAACAAAAGAAGTTTCTGCATTGTTGCGAAGTTTGTGCTTTCAGTTGTGAAAAACAATGTAACTGAATGGAGGTCAGCTGGGACTCCAGCCCGGGCACTCCGGGCCTTACTGGAGTCCACATTGTCCTGGCTGTGTCACCAAAAACTGTAGCCAAGTGCAGGTTAGCTGCCTACCTCTTTGAAAACAATGCTTGAGAGGCAGGTGCTAATGTAAAGAAAATTGGTTTATTCAGATACTGGCCATCTGAAAGAGAGGAGGGGACTCATGTTTCAAAGACCATCTCTGCATCTCAGTGCAGGCAGAGGTTTTTATAAGGAGGGAGAAGGGAACAGAACGAAGAGAAGATCAAAGGAGGGGTTGCAAAGTTCTCTACCTGCAGACGAGCACAGTCCATTCAGGTAAGGCACGAGATGGTCCACCGTGCGTCATCCTGGTTTAGTCATCCCAGCTTCACGTTATCCAGGCTCCACCATTGAAGGTCAGCAGAGCTTCTGGAGCTGGGATGCCCGAAGGTCGGAGTCTGTATCTTTTGAAGTTAGTTCCTAGGACTCTTATACAGATGTGCTGTTCATCTACAAGCTATGTATTAGTCAAGTCAGCAATGACAGAAACAATGTCAGAAGAATGGTGGGGTGGGTTACAATTTCCTACTGTTACAATTTTCCACTACTACAATAATATAAACAAAACCACTACAAAATGGGGTCAGAGTTTCTGTGCATAGGAACTGCCTTGTATGTCTTACTCCTCCAACTTCTGGAATGTTAAAACTGGGCACAATATCAGCTTTGGGACTGGGCCTAAAGCAACACTGCATCCCAAACCACTGTTTGCAAAGACAGCAAAAAAGCCAGTAGTATGACTTTCAAACTGAAGATTTAAAAATTTCTTTAGAATTAGCATGACTATGCTAGTTTATTTGCACTGATAGAAATGCCTTCCTTCTGATGATTCTATCAGTGTAATGATTACCACAAATATTTAATGTAATTTTGGAAAAGAGTGATTTTGGGGTTTTTCTTCAATAAAGAACATTGTTTTCAGACAAAAAATGCTTAAAAAAATCTCCTTTAGAATTTCTGTTGATATTATGACATGGCTATTCAATGCAATGCTATGTAGTATTAAGCACAAAAATTAAAACCAAATAAAACAAAACAAAAGAAAAAAGAAATGCCTTCCTTCTATTGATAAAATTATTTCCCTTCCCTTGCTCATAAATACCCCTTACCTTCACCTCCCAAATGGAACATTATTTGGGTTTCTGCCTAAATCAGTGCTTGCCGAATAGGTATTCTGTTAGATTTCAAATAAATGCTTGTTGCCTCTCACTTCAGCATTCATTTTTAGGTTAGCCCATTTTGGGGGGGATATATACTCAGAAGGAAAATTTCTGAGTCATATGGTGGTTCCATTTATTTTGCTGAGGAATTGCCATTCTACAGATGACTGAACCATATAACACTCCCACCAGCAATGCACAGAATTCTAATTCTCCACATCTTCCTCAACACATGTTTTCTTTTTTTTTATAATAGCTATTGGGAAAATAGTATCTCATTTATCCAATGGCTGTTTGAGAGATAGCATCTCATTTTGGTTTAATTTGTATTTCTCTGGGCTGTGGAGCCTGGTATGGGGCTGGGACATTTCATGCCTTAGGGGGCGGGGACCTCCATAGCCAAGTAGTCCCTCCCATTTCATAACTGCCACATGCAGGTGGGGGTCTCGCCCACCCTGCATCTCCACTCTCCCACCAGCCTCGACATGGCTTTTTCTACATATTCTTAGTCATAGGACTAGTGTTCACCTAGTCTGTAGGCGGTTCTCAGTGACCGTTTTTCTGTAGTTTAGTTGTAAATTTGAAGTAGTCATGACAGGAGGCAAGCACACCGTTGACCTTCTCCGCCATCTTGACTGGAAGTGTCCAAAGATAAACGTTTTACTAAAGAAGTTATATGCTGGGGCAGGACTACCCACCATGACCTGCCCAGCTAGGGAATGTTTTTTCCTCCCTCACACCTCCAAACAACCATTCTAACCTGCTCTCACATTTAATAGTAGATCACATTTAATAATAGTTCCAATTTAATAACAATAAATTTATTGGAAAATGAGACGCAACTCCATTTGTCAAATCACAGTAGAATTGGAAGCACAGTTAGCTATGGATAAAAAAGTACTGCAAAAATCAATGAAAGTGTTCTGTGAGAACTAGCGCAGAACAGTTGTACGGTGTGTGAAATAAAGATTATTGCTATTTCATTATATTTATAAATTGCATGCTATAGTCCTTCATATTGGTAAAATTTGTAATACATATGTATCTGTGTGTAAATATGTGTGTAAATGTTGCGCATTCACCAGCACACCACTGGAACTATGTAATGAATAATTTGTTAAAGTTTCTTTTGTCATATGAAATTTTATTTCTTAACACAAGTATTCAATAAAATGTCCATGTTTCTTTAAGTGTGCTGTGACATTACATTTGTTTAGGTGAACCGAATTAAAAATCTGAGACCTGCTTTGATGTGAAAATGGGGGAAATCTATTTGCCCACAGGCATGGGTTATGCTGTTCACTGTGTATTTTTGTCTTACTGAAGATAAAACTAAACGTGATATATAACCTGGATAAATACTTTGTCCAAGAGCATTTAACTAGTAGGTAGCAGACAGATTTTGAATACAACTGAACTCTAACATTCATATTAAATCATTAAGTCCTTACAAAAGTGTGAAGGCATAGACATTATTATTCCCCTTTCATAGTAATGTCAGGTTGAGGTTCCATGCGTTAAATTAATTGTCCAAGGTTGCACAGGTGAGCAGGTTTTACCCTCTTTTTATATGTGTGACTGTTTCACACAACTTTTCTGCCCACTCACAATATTTATATCCTGCTCCCCACCCCATTCTAGGATCTCTAACAGGAGAGTTCTGGGGCCGGGTTTCTCTGAGGAGACTCAAGGAGCTCGACATCCTGTCTCGCAGCTTTCGCCACAGTCTGGTGGTCACGGCAGGACAGTCGATGGATATCTGCCCCTTTCATAAACCAGACCTAATGGCGCGGGTTGGGTCTGAGTCAGCTGGGACACGTAGAACAGGTAGGCAGTGGGGAGACAG